AAGGACACCACTTAGGGTGCTCTAATGTTACCCAGCTACTGAGTAAGCGATGCTCCAAAGCTTCACATGCAGGCAAACAAAACCACCAGTAAGTGGAACGTGGGTGCCTAAAGACCTTTGACTTTTAAGGCCTACATGTGTGTATATATATGTAAGTCATAAACATACTATGCATGTTCATTACTAGACTAAGTAATGAGCACACAGCAGCAGCAATGGCTTTGTCAGATCCCATAAGCAACTACATTTAGGCCTGATTCCTGTTTCTCGGAGAAACCCCCAACATAAATTAGATGTAGTAAATGAGGGGATGATTTGGGTGGCTATTTGCCTTCTCGGCCTGTACTGAGACACATTTCCTTAGGCTGATCTCAGAGCTGCTGTTTTTCAGAGAAGAGGCAGTCTTGACTTCTTACTGTCATTAGATGTCACACAACAGTATTTGCAAGGGAAGGGGTGTCCTCACTCCTTACTACAAAGCCAGCAATTATATTTTCTAAGCAGAAATGGGCCATGGATGAGATGATAAGCAGCTGCCCTGCCTCAGCGCAAGATAGGTCAGTATTTTGGGAGCAATCTCCTCTGCGATGGCTCGATACACGCTTTGCAGGGCTGCTTTGTATTCCCGTGTGCTGGGGAAAACACAGGGTCCGGTTCTAAAGCGTGAGACAAGGGTATCGAGTCCCGCATAACTGGGGGGAGAGGAAAGACAGCAGTGGCTGAGAGATGCTGAGACCCAAAACAAGGAGGTTTTAGCCACCAGCGGATGGGAATACCCCACTTAAACTTCGTTTTCTCCTCTGCCAAACTTCTCCAAGTAAATCACACATTATCTCTCAAATAATTTCTGAAAGCAACACAAATTGCCTGCTTGGTCATGATGGTTTTCTATTTTTAATTGTTTTTATTAAATAAAAAATATTTCCATCTACAGCGAAACAAAACAAAGTTTCCAGTTATTATATGCTTTTAGCTTCTTTCTTCTCTATAAGTACCTTATTTTCTCCAGTCATTTTCAAGATTTCAGGCTAGGATCACCACAGCCTCTTATATCATATTATTTTCCTACCATGAAGTTGTTTATGTGTATTGTTTACCCAACAGACATTTCTCTTTCACTTGGTATATTCATTACTAAATAATTCTGTGAGAAGATACAGGCCACTGATTTTTTGCAATTTGCATCCCCATACTCTAAGCTATGTTGAAAGCAAAGCTTTTTGGTCCTCTTGCTTTGGAAGTACATTAATATTTCTATGACCTTTACTAGATGGCAGATGAGAAGCATTAGGAATAAAATAACAAACAAACCAAAGGAAACCAATTTTTTAAAATGCGTATTTCTGAAAGGAGCAAGAGGGAAAAGAATCTAGTCTAAAAAAATATGAACTTTAGCTAGAGTTATGATAATTGTTCTATTGTAACCTATTTTTCCATGTCAAAATGTTTCTTTATGATCAATCCATTCGACATAACGCAAAAACGTATTTAAAGGGGTTTAGTAGCTATGCATACAAGAAATATATAGATATTATTTAGAGATATTTAGAAACAAATGGAATAGCTCAAGGCATTTATTTATTGTGTACATTGAAGTGATCATATTAAAAGCACAATCACTATGCTAACAACTACTTCACACAAAATGACTTCAAATCACTTAACCCCCAAAGCCCACTGATTATAAACAGAAATTCTGCAAAACAAGCTGCAAATGTAGCGCCTTTTTGCGTGGTGCAAATGCTCTGCTTTAGAAGACTACGCTTTCAGAAGCCTTTAGAAGACTGTAGAAGGAAAACCAACTAAATTCTACCCAGGAAACCATTTCTCTCACGGCAGTATTGTTTTTCAGTGGTTTTACTACACAGCGGAAGCCAACTCTGTTCCTGTTCATCTAGGTGTCGATGCCATAACTCAAAGGAACAGATCCAAAAATGATTTTTGGTGACTTAAAATTTGACTGCTTTATGAACACTGTGTATAGATTAACAACATCTATGATTCAGCAAGGCGTTTAACAGATGGAAAGCAGAAGTTGTCCCATGAACTAAAGTATTTGTTCGCTGGTTTGCAACTGGAGGCAAAACTGAGATTCTTTAAGAGCAACCCCCTTCCATACACTTGATATCATATACTTGATACCGTATACTTGATACCATATGCCACAGTATCAAGTGAAAGGTTTTTTTGTTTCCCTTTAGGATAGAGTGGAAGAGTCAGAAAATTTTAAAATAGCAATAACCAGTTCACCATACCATGAATCACGTGAATCTAGAAGGGTTCAGATTAAATCAAGTTGTGCTATTTATAGGATTGACATGATGGCCAGAGTCCCCTACTGTCTTTACTACCAAAAGAAATGCTGTTGCAGCCAGTAGAAACAGGAATAGGCCTTGTATTGAATGTGTCACATACCTATTTTTTAATTATTACTTTTATAAGTTCTTCTGTTTCAATATATGAAAATTTTCTCTCCTTGAGGTTTCAAGGAATGCTATCTTATAATTTTAGGATCAAAATATAGATTTGTTAAAATCGTAAGAACTTCTTAATGGGAAAAACAGTTTGAAAACATGCTTTCTGTTCTGTTAATTAGTTTATTTTAAGTGAAGTGAGGGACTTCATAGTTCGGATGCAAGCATTTCCCTTCCATTTGCTCTTTAAGCCCAAGAGCTTGTTGCTCTTTGTTCAAGTTTTCAGAGAAACTGAAAGTAACTAGAAACTGGCTTTAAAAAGTACCTTTCCTCTCCACTGTTAATTTTTTTATAAGTTTTCTCAGCTTGATCTAGCAGTATGGAGAAGTGTAAATCATCCTTACAATTTTTTTACAATTTTGATTTATCTAGAGGATTTCTAACACACAGCTTTCGCTCATTAGATGTAGAGATTCTGGCTCTTAACCAGTCTGTAAAGTCAGAGAAAACTATGCTGAGTTAGCCAACAGAGAACCTGCCCCATTTTAAATATAGCTCCCATCTCCTTAGGTTATTGTGCTTTAATTATGCCATGTGTAAAATGTTTTTATACATAAAGCATCCAATCTGAACTTACTCAAGCGATGGCATCTGTCTTTGCAGTCGATGTTCTCAGCCCACTGCTGGTTTAAAATGTAATCAGTCTTCATCTGATAGTTTGAATGGAATTTAAGTTTCTGTTCAAGATATAGCCTGTGACGCTGCATTGCATCGCACACAGACAGTTCCTACATTCTTACCCAAAGTCGGATCACTCTCTCTGCACTGCAGAGTTGGGACTCTGAAAGATTTAACTGGAATCCTCCTCAAGCATATAACAACATCGCCTTTGTAACCAGTAACAAACTTGCAAATATTTTTATATGGTAGATAATAATTCAATGGGACATAATAAGCCAAATTTGCAAAAGAGACTATGTTTTCATCTAAAATATTCACTGACTTGTATACATGTGCAGCTCCAAAATGGACAAGCACAAAAGGCAAAGGCAGGTTGCATCCTTCTGGTACCTGTACATAGGCTTTAATTTTGCACGTGTACCCGTAAGTTCTAATTTAATGCATACAGAGAAATGGATCAGATGAGAGCACCTCTTTTAAAAAATCAGGTCTTGGTGTTTTGTGCATGGTGAAAATACGGAGAGCTAAAAGTGATATAGTTTCTGTGTTAGGTCAGACATTTCAAGAACTGCAATATTTCTGCTCCACTTTAGGATAAACCATCTTCTACAGTCGTATTAGGAGAAGTGGTATACCTTAGTGTCAGTGCTCGTCTTGCTTAGCTGTCATCTCACATTCCCTAGGGACTTGTATATCCTGTGTGACTGAGATCTGCACAGCAGCATCAGGGATTTGGATGCTCCGTTCCCATTACTGTTGCTGAGGATATAACCCCTTTGTTGAGGGATGTTAGTTCTTTCTGTGGATTTGCTGTCTTCTCGCTCTGTGGTCTGTATTCCCTACCTTTCAGTTCTTCCCAATGAGTCGTCAGTCTGCTGTTGAAAAGGCCTTTTGCCGTTGGTACATTTTATAATCCTTCACAGAAAGCCCGTAACTGGATATGGGAAAGCTGTTTCTTATAAAGGTGTTACACACATACATACCTCAAAAGCCTACTGGAGAAAAGCAAGCAGGAGAGGTCTATAGATGATTTGGGTAATACAACTCACCAGAGACCTCAGGACAGAAACTTCTGAGCAAGCTACCAGGCTGTCCAAATTAGAATAAACTATTTGGACTATTTTGGCCCCTGGAGTGCAGCAGAACTCCCTGAACTGCAAATTCGCATTTGGTCTTCTCTTTCTCAGGGATGCAACTGCCTTGTGATGTCTACACCAACACCAGAAAATAAAACAGTGCCGAGACAAAGGCTTAAGTGCTGGCTCTCCATCTTCCCATTTAACTGTTTTCAGTTTAAGCATAAGAGAATTTAAGCATGGGTGCAAGCCACACAGTCTTAATTAGCCTCCAGACCAGAGAACATAACCTGGCTCGTTTTATTCACTACTACACACAGAGCCAGCACAGGCAAAGATTAAAATCTCACTCTGTGACATTTAACCGTCTTTGCAAGGCATGCTTAGGACAGCTGGTGAGAAAGGCTGCTGCTTTGTAATGATTTCTTAATTAATAATACATTTACATGTGTGTGTCTGCATGTGTATGTGTGCATATATATATATATATATATATATATATACAGAAAATGCTTATGTCACTGGATGGAACAGCTACAGCATCATTTTCTACCTTAGTTAACAAGGCAATCCAGTACAGAGAACAAGTTTCAAGCCTTTGACTTACGACTCCTCTTGTTTTTAATATGGTTTTAACTGTCATGCTAGTAAGTCATAAATATGAGAATAATGTAATAAGGACTACCACAAACACCCACTTCTATGTTATTTTATGTTTGTTCCGTATTTAAAGTATCCACACATCTTCACACATTTCCTTCCTCCTCACTGTCAGATATGTGTGCTCTCAGCTATGCAGGTAAAAAGGAAAAAGTTTAGAAAAAACTTTCTAAACTGTAATAGTTTCTCGTTCTCTCTTGTTGAAAGAATTCTGAGGACTAACTGGAGTCACCATTTGAGAAAAAGGTCCCTGGCGATTATACTGAGATGAGCTTCCATGTTTTTTTATGTATCTGCAGTCACAAAAAGACAGAGAAAAAAAGACTTTTAAGAAGTGTTCTCGTCTTGCTGAACATTCCCTCTTCTTCCCTCTCACTGCATTCTTCATAAACAGTTATGCCTGCTGGCCTCAGAGAATACTAATAATTTGCAATATGCCATAGTATTAAAATCAGCCCCTCTAAGAACAATGGTGGCAAATCTTCCTAAGAGTTTTACATCTCACCTTCTGGATATATATAACATGCTGAAAGACAGATCCCTACAACAGCTGTAAGAAAGGTATATTCTGCCTCTTTCAGCCTTTCTTGGACACACACGGTTGCTTCACAACTAACCTGCACCCTGTGGAGAACTGCCGTGAGCATGCTGAATGCGTTCAAGCACATAAGGCCCTGTGTTGCCTGGAGGGCTACCTCTGGTGGTGCTGGACGTTTGGCTTTCAAGCCCAGAAAAAACACTTTGCTGACACCATGACATGCCTGCTTTAGATGCCCAGTCCTCGTGGTACAGAATACTGGGATGAGGATTAGAAAATATGCTGGGGACTGTCTGGGAGGGAACGATTTATGCTAGACTTCTGATATCCTTCTAATCTTTTACAGGAAGAGGCACTATAAATAATCTTATATCTACAACCTAAATTGGTGTAACCCCTATGCTGCAAAACACCTAATCAAAAGCAGGGCTGACGCAGAACTGACTACAGAGTCTTATGTTCACTTCACTCCCCAAACAAAAAATATTTTCTTCTGACCTAAAGATCCCTTTTGAAATCTCCAAAGCAACTTGCTGAAAAGGTGCAATCCGTCTCTCTAAAATCGAACTAAATCCAGCACTGCCTTATATTAACTATGGCAAGGCAAACACATTTCCATACAACTCGTGGTGCAAATGGATTTCTCTTTTCTGGGTAGCAATGGACAGTTCATTTAAATACAAAACAACACATAAAACATTTCTTCCTATGCAAAAGCTAAGCAATGCTGCCGGAATTTAATTGCACTAAAGGACTTTGAAACCCAATTTTCTGACTTCACCTTGAGATTACCTGGAAATAAAAATACAATAAAAATGCATCAATAAACCTTGACATATAAAAATACTGTTCACATTCGAAGATGAAGAAACCATATTTCTTCTGTTCTATACCCTATACAATCCTGTTGAGTTCAAAATGCTTAAAACAGGTATAAAGGATTTTGCCCCACATACTGTGGAAGCTCCATGAGATAGAAATACAGTGTAGAAGTGGTTGCATGCTGTCTGGTCTATCTGATATTGCTGATACTTTTGACAGGAACATTTATTACACCATGTTAGCAGTAGACAAGAGACTCCCTCTGATACCCATAATTGTCTTCAGGAGACTGACCATATATTGTAGACATGTCAAATAGAGCAGCTATAAACACATCCACCACATGCAATCACTTGCTACTTTCTGAGAAATTATTACAGTCATGCCTTGAGAATGATCAAAGACAGAAAAAAAGGGTCACCATTTTAAAAACAGTAAGAATGAGATCACATCCTACATGAAAAGCGTGTGGAGGTGATTTGGGGTAGTCTGACCCCCAATTCCAGGAATCACCTCTCTTCACCTCTCCACTGCAGTCTAGGTTGCCCTGTGATCACTGAAATCAGCAGGACTTTTATAATTTATTTTACAAAGGGAAGAAATCAAATGTTAAACATCTCTCTCTTATGGGCATCATTAACTAATGTTGGGGGGAGATTCCCAGCATCCCTAAGTTTTACGTAGCAGTTTCATAGAGGGCTAGGGTCCTCCATCTTAAGTCAGTGAACACTCTCTTACTCCCCAAGTAGCCCCAGAGATATTTCTGCCCTCAGGGGAATGTACCACTCAGCTCAGAAGAAGGGTGGTAAAACCTGGTCTACAATGTCTGGGTATGATTATGCTTGCTATCTGTTTCCTACACACCCTTCTTCAAAAAAGCCAGGGGGTTCCGTCCTGGTTCTGGAAAGTCTCCATTAGTACAGAATGAGTACCCCATTGTTACTATCCTCTAAAAACTAAGAAAATTCATCCACTATGAACTACACCCACAGTAACACCTGTAGAAAGTAAAAGGAAGTAACAGATGTGTTTTCCTTTCTTAGACAACAGTGGCGCCTGCCTTTTTGCTCTTGACATGGGGTATCTGTCTGAAGTCTGTCAAAGATCTTTGCTAAGATGCATTTGCCTTTTTATTTGTCTGTGACATTTACAAGCAAGTTAGTCTTGCATCAGGCTGCTCTGACTTCAGCTTTATTAGCCTATCGAGACTCAGGACTCTGTTGTGCATTTTCATTCCCTGTGAACAGCAAACTGTGACTACAGGTGACTGCCTATTTTCTAAGTATAACCACAAGAGAAAAAGAGCAGAGGTGAATGGATGGAAGGCAGCAGAAATGGAAGTCAGTGCATTTTGCACAATGATGAAACACTTGACAAGGTGAATTCTTTAAAAGCCAGGCAGCTCCCTAAAGCTCCTCAAGCCTTTTCTGGATACTTTTCACTGGCAGTACTGAAAAAGAAGTGTGATGCATTGTGAACAGAATTCTAAGGAAAATTAAACACTTTAATGGAACATAATGAATGGAGCCAAATCCAGCTGGCAGCCGGTCACGAGTGGTGTTCCCCAGGGCTCAGTACTGGGGCCAGTCCTGTTCAATATCTTCATTGATGATCTGGATGAGGGGATCGAGTGCACCCTCAGTAAGTTTGCAGATGACACCAAGTTGCGTGGCAGTGTCGCTCTGCTGGAGGGCAGGAAGGCCCTACAGAGGGACCTGGACAGGCTGGACCGACGGGCCGGGGCCAGCTGCATGAGATTCAACCAGGCCAAGTGCCGGGTCCTGCACTTCGGTCACAACAACCCCATGCAATGCTACAGGCTTGGGGAGGAGTGCCTGGAGAGCTGCCTGGTGGAAAAGGACCTGGGGGTTGGCTGACAGCTGCCTGAATATGAATGAGCCAGCAGTGTGCTCAGGTGGCCAAGAAGGCCAATGGCAACCTGGCTTGTATCAGGAATAGCATGGCCAGCAGGAGCAGGAAGGTGACAGTGCCCCTGTACTCGGCACTGGTGAGGCTGCACCTCGAGTACTGTCTTCAGTTTTGGGCCCCTCACTACAAGGATATCGAGGTGCTGGAGCGTGTCCAAAGAAGGGCAACAAAGCTGGTGAAGGGTCTAGAGAACAAGTCTTACGAGGAGCAGCTGAAGGAGCTGGGGTTGTTTAG